AAGTCCTCTCTCGACGTACGAAAACCACGCTCTATAAGTCACTCATCATGCCCGTGCTGGTATATGGCGCAGAAGCATGGACAATGACAACATCCGATGAGGCGGCTCTTGGGGTGTTTGAGAGAAAGATTTTGCGGAAGATTTACGGGCCTTTACGCGTTGGCGACGGCGAGTACCGCAGACGATGGAACGATGAGCTGTATGAGCTTTACAACGATATGGACATAGTGCAGCGAATTAAAATACAGCGGCTCCGCTGGCTTGGTCATGTCGTTCGAATGGACACCGACGCTCCAGCTCTGAAAGTATTCAACGCGGAACCCGCTGGTGGTAGCAGAGGAAGAGGGAGGCCCCCACTGCGATGGAAAGATCAGGTGGAGAAGGACTTGGCTTCACTTGGCGTTTCCAATTCGCGTCAGTTGGCACAGAGGAGAAACGACTGGCGAGCTTTGCTGAACTCGGCCAAAATCGCTTAGGCGGTTACAGCGCCAAAAAAGAAGAAGAAGAAGAGATTGAGGGCTTATTTTGTGGGTTTCCATCTTGTGAAGACTGTAATTGCTGTGATTGTTGTTGGCTTCCCTGCTGCGGTTTATGTTGTATTTGTAAATTGTACAATGTTTGCAAAAATTAGAAAAAAATCAAAAAAGTTTCTTAAAAATTGCGAACTTTTTAATAAGAATTTCTATAAAAAAATTTGGTGTGCAGATTTTTAATCTATTAAATCAGTCACTGATGTTGTTTGGCGCAAAAATAAGTAATGAGAAAATGGCTATGCCATACTCGATATCGAAAAAAAATATCGATGTCAGCAAAGAGAATCAATTACTCGATATATCGATACTGACATCGATATATTTGCAGCTCTAGATTGAGGGCTTATTTTGTGGGTTTCCATCTTGTGAAGACTGTAATTGCTGTGATTGTTGTTGGGTTCCCTGCTGCGGTTTATGTTGTATTTGCTGCGGGAGTAGGTGTTGTTGCGATTCTTGCATAGATGTCGCCTGTTTTCCTTTTTCGGATTTCCCCTCCACATTTGGGAGGGGTCCGATTTATAGGAATATCTACCTCAGTATATCCAGTAAACAAACTTAGCTATTTTTTTTCACCAAGTTTGGTCCCCATAAAGGACTAGTGTTGCAAGCAACGCTTTTTCGGCAATTAGGGTGTTGTGCAGCTATTTATTGTGTTGAAAATTATTTAAGCACTGGAGAGATTTATTCACATGGAATTGGAGATAGGGCTGATAGATTTATTTTAAATAAATTGTGAATCTGCGAAAATATCTTTTCAGCAGATGAATATA